CCCTGAGGGACGTGGGGCTGTGTCCTGACCCTGAGGAGATGGGCTGTGTCCTGACCCTGAGGGGTGTGGGGCTGCGTCCTGACCCTGACGGGCGTGGGGCTGCGTCCTGACCCTGAGGAGATGGGCTGCGTCCTGACCCTGAGGGGCGTGGGGCTGCGTCCTGACCCTGAGGGGTGTGGGGCTGCATCCTGACCCTGAGGGGCGTGGGGCTGCGTCCTGCCCTGCATCACCCCAGGCCCAGAGCACGAGCCCCGACGGTGCTGTGACTATTAGGATTTGCCTCAGCATCCTCCACCGTGCCCAGCCCTGTCTCTGGTCTCTGCTCTGCCCAGAGGAGAGGAGCCACCCACACCGCGCCCACCTTCAGCAGCTCCTTCAGCTCCTCCATCGTCTGCTTGTTGGCCACCTCATCATGGACGGTCTGGCCACAGTTCTTTACCACTGACTCCATGACCTGCAGGGCCAGAGGGCAAAGGTCAGCACACCTCCTCCCTGATGAGGCCTCTCAGACCCGTAGACCGTGGGACCCATCTGCAAGGGACTCGACTTGTTTCTGTGCACTGTCAAGGATGGGGGCCCGGGATGCAGTCACCTCGAGGGCATACAGGGCCACGTGGGGGTTCTTGTCATTGACTTTCTTCTTGATGGCACTCACAGCATACTTTGCCCTGAAAGAACAGTGTTGAGCAGAAACAGAGAGGCGAGAGAATTCCGGGAACACCTCAGCCGCAGAGACAGCAAACGCCCATGTGCCTAATGGGCCCCAGGTCAACGCTGTGGCGGCCACGGATCACCAGCTGGGCAGAAGGACCACAGACCTATCCCAGGGCTCACCACCCAGCACACACCCACACTGCTGCGTGTCAGGCCCCGTGCTGCTCAGTGCACACCAGGCAAGACACCAAGGGGCCTAGGGGTCAGGCAGGAGCACCAAGCAGCCACCCAACAAGCACAGGCCGACATTTCACATGTTCCCCCCACCAAGCACAGACCCCACTTACTGCATTTCCCCCCTGCCAAGTACAGGAACCCCACTTATTGTACGTTGCCCTCACTAAGCAAAGCCTTCACTTACTGTGTATCCCCCTGCTGTACACAGGCTCCCCTGCTTTGTGACTCCCCAAAACAAACACAGGCTCCCCCACTTTTTGCATCCCCCTAAAGCTGAGTGCAGGACTTCCACTCACTACACTTCCCCTCTGCTGAACACAGGACCCCCAACTTATTGCATGTTTCCCCACCTTATGTGTGTTCACCCTGCCAAGTGCAGGCTCTCCACTCACTGTATGTCCCCCCACTGAGTGCAGGCTCCCCCCACTCACTGTGCATCCTCCCCCACTGAGCACAGGGACCCCCCCACTCACTGCGCATCCCCCGTGAGCAGGACCCCCATTCACTGTGTCCTCTCACTGAGCATAGGCTCCTCCGCTCACTGTGGATTCCCCCCACTGAGTGCAGGCCCCCAACTCACTGAGTGTCCTCCCCGAGCAGGACCCCACTCACTGTGCATCCCCCATGAGCAGGACCCCCACTCACTGTGTGTCACCCCACTGAGTGCACGCCCCCCCACTCACTGTGTATCCCCCCCAGTGAGCTCAGGCCCCCCACTCACTGTGTACCCCCCTGGTGAGCACAGGCCCCCCCACTCACTGAGTGTCTCCTTGGCGGATCAGGTCGCATATCTGCAGGATGGACTCCCAGTCGGTCTCCAGCAGCAGCTGGCTGGTGGCTTTGTCTGGGGAGAAGTGTGTCCATTGCGGGGGGTCTACCTGTTCTGCGGGTCCCTGTGCCCCCAGCTCAGCAATAGGGAGAAAGGTGTCCCCCTCCCCTTGGAAACCTCTGGACCAGATGGAAATGACGGAACCCTGCAGGAGCAGGGGGGTTACGGTGGGCCTGCTTCCTTCACCAGGGTCAGGGGACCATGCCATATGCTTTTCCCAGGCTGGGGTGGCTGCAGACCCTCCCCCTGAAGCACTTCACTCCTTCTCACACAGCCCTATGCCCCAGTGCACCCTTCACTCTCTTGGCAGATGAAGAACTGAGTGCTGAGGTCGCCCCCATGACAACAGCTGCCACAGGGTGAACCAGGACTCCTGCCCAACGCAGACAGCTCCTGACCCAGCCCTGGGTGGGGCGACAGTCGGACCGCAGCTGGGTCCAGGACAGGCCAGAGTCGCAGCTCACGCTGCAGCTCTCAGATCCAGGGGGAAGCAAGGCAGACCCGACCTCCACCACAGTTTCTCCCGCTGACACCTCTGTTCTGCGTCACTATGTCTGGGGGCAGCGACTGCCCCAGGACAGAGAGCAGGGATCGCACGAGGCTTGCCGGTTCCCATATGGACTCAGGGCAGCCAGCTCCTGCACCGATGCTCCAAACGCCCGACGCCGGAGAGGCTCGCAGGCTCAGCCCGCAGGTGCTGACTGCGAGGCAGGCACCCCAAGCGCGGTCTCCCGGAAAGCACGTCCCGGGAGGAAGCAGACAGACCGGGCTGACCACGAGGGCACCTGCTGCGGACACACAGCACGCACGCTGCAGGGGGCGCCTGGCACCCCGCTCTCCCCTTCCCGAGGCCGGGCCGCCCGTGGGGCCCCAGGGAGGGCCCTCGGGTTCCCGCCTGCTGGGCCGAGGGCTGTTCGGTTCCAAGCCTCTCCGACCCGCTGGGTTGGGCTCAGGACTGAGTCACACCATCTCGTGACTCAGGACTCGGGCCCGCTGGGTCGGACGCGACTGCGGGCGACCGGAGCCGGGGGTTTGGTTGGTTCTTAGCTGGGAATTTGCAAACCGTCCCGCTCGCAGAAATCGGACCGAAAGCCCGAGCGGCAGCCCCTCTGCGGCTTGTCGCCCGTGTTCTCCGCGTACCCTCATCTACATTCGGGGTGGCGTCGGCTGCCAGCTCTCGGAGAACCCCGAAACGCTACGGAAAGCGAGCGCGGGAGGAGCTGCGCCGCGCTCGGGGGCCCGGGGATGGGGATCGCCACGGCAGGCTCCGGACCCGCCTCTCGCTCGCCTCCCGGCAGGACCGCGGCCCCTCCCGGTCCTCGGCCCGGCTCCGAGGACTGCGCGGGCGGCGGGTCAGGCCTTCAGGCCGGAGCCCCGCTGACTCAGCCCCGGGCGGAGTCGCGGGGAGCGAGCGCCTGGTCGGTGGGGCGGGGGGCACGTTACCTAGGAGACGCTCGAAGGTGCCGCTGCCGCGCCCCATGGCGACCTCGACCCGAACCCACAGCCGCGGCGCTCCTCCTCAGAGCTGGCTTGCCCCCCAGCTTCCGCTTCCGCCTAGTCCGCAGCGCGCGCACGCTCAGTTGCCAGGCTTGCCCCAAAGCAGTAAGTAGGCAGGCCCTTTCAACGCTGTGAGCTGATTGGACTTGGCCTCTTGGGAAGGTGAGCTTCGAGAACCAATGAACAGTCCGAAGGAGGGGGATGTCCAATGAGAGCGAGACAGAGGATGGGCCCTGAGTTGCCACGGCGCCGGCTAGGGGTTCAAGGAGGAGATCCCGGAGTCGGGGTGTGTCTGCCGTTGGGATCCTTGGGCGGCTGGGAGACGCTGTTGGTGAAGGGACTATCCTCCGCGCTGGACTGGGAGCGGCGGGCGGAGGTGAGGCCAGCTGGGTCCTTCAGCTCGGCCCCCGCTCCGGTCCTTGACGGCTCGCACAGCTGAACACCCACGACGGGAAAGGCGACCTGGGGAACACTCCTCCGACGCAGCCCACGGTAGGTACCGCCCCGCAGGTCCGCCCCCATAGGACGCTGTCGCAGTTGCGAAGCGCTTTAGGCTTTGGTAGGTGGGTGCTAAGCACAGCCTTCGGGGAGGCGCGTGGGGTCTCCGCGAAGGGAGAGCGCCCTCCAGAGGCACCGAGCGGATGGGACGGCAGGTGGGCGGTGGGCTCCGTCCTGCCACCTCCGTCCCCGCGAGATGGCCTCCCAATTTCACAGTCCCCAGAGCGCCCTCTCGCGGCCGCCCCGAAGGCGAGTTCCTCTGACCCCGACGGCGCTGCGGCCCCAGCGCCGACAGCGGGTGTCCGGGCCCCTGGCAGCACCGTCAGCCGCCTGTTCCGCACTGCCCAGCGCCGAGCCCTTGGACAGCGGCAGTTGGGTTCCGGTCCCGGTGCAGAGTGCTGGGCACCTTCCACTGAGGATTGACCGGGGAAAACCAGTGTATTTTAGTTTATTTTTTATTTTTCTTGTGGTGAAAACATACACAAGACATTCGCGAACAAAACAACTCCCCCGTTTACAGCTCAGGGACATTGAGGACATTTTTCGTGGTGTGCCACCATTGTTGGTGTCCTTCCTGACATATCCCCCCACTGTTGGCATAAACCCAGTGCCCCGCAAACAAAGGCTTCCCCTTCCCGCCCTCCTACTCCTGATAACCACAATAATTTTTTTTTTTCCCTCCAACCTATCTAGGGATTTTCCCTCCCCTCCCCGGTCACCAACAAAGTTTCCTTCTGTGTATAAACCTTTCCTTGGTTTGCAAAAGTGGACTCATAGGATATTTGTTCTTCTGTGATTGTTTCACTCAGCATAATGTCCTCCAACTTCATCCACTTTATGTAGTGTTTGCTTGCTTGTTTTGTGATTTGGGTGGAAGTTTACAAAGCAAATTCACTCTTCATACAGCAGTTCACATACACTTTATCTCATGACACTGACTACAATTTACCACGGTGCAACAGCTCCCCTCCCACTTCCTCCCCATAGTTACCTCTTCCCTGTGTCCTTCCCTTCCATGCACTCTCGCCCCCTGAGCTGTCTCCCTGTGCACACACAGCCCTTCTGTTCTCCAATGATTGATCTCTCCAAGGAGTGTATCTACCTAGTGTAAATGTTCAGCTCATATGCCTGTCTTTTGTTTCGCTGGAAGCCACAGATGTGGGTTCAGTTCCAGACCTGACGGGCAGCTAGGGGCTATAGTCTCAGTGGTTCCACCAGGCTCTATCAGACTAGCAAACCTGGTCCCCGCCCCCCTTTTTTTCCCCAAATGATTCTGAGTTTTGTTCCACATTGTTCTCTCTCTATATCCAGGATCTCTTAGATCGATCCCCCTCTGAGTGGTTGACAGTGGTAGCTGGGCACCATCTAGTTCTTCTGGTCTCATAGTCGTATAGGCTGAGGATCACATGGTGTACCAGTTGCTAGGACTAATTATTTCCATGTATCTTTGGTTTTCTTCATTCTTCTTTGCTCTGGACGAGGAGAGACCCATTCTTGCATCTAGATGACCATCTGCAAGTTTTTAAGATACCAGTTGCTACTTGCCAAAGTAGGAAATGGAACAATGTTTTGTGTAGTATGTTATGCCAGTTGAGCTTGATGTCTGCTGTGACTGTGGTCCCAAGCCTACAGGTCCAACTACTCACTCCCTCTGGGTAGGTGGCTGTGGCTAAGAAGTGACTACAACTTTGTCCCTTGTCAGCTCTAGTATATACCTGAGAATTCTTACAGAACATACCAATACACTTGTAGAAACACTGTCTGCCAACCCTATACATGGTCACGGGCACACTCGCCCTGGCATAGACATACCTAATAGTTCAACCTGTCCACCCATCTATCCACCCGTATACTCATGTTTGCCTTCACTGACAATGCAGTACTGTTATGTGCAAAAGGGTTCATCTTTGTTGTCTGTACTTCCCATTCACCTCTCTGTCTTCCTCTTCCTCAGTGCCATCGTGTTGATCACTCACATTTGGTACATGGCCCTTCTCTTCACCCAAATCAATACTTGTTTCTACCTAACAGTGTTCCCTCTCCTCCCCTCCCACCCCTGGTAACCAACAAAGAAAATTTCCTTCCATAGATAAACCTTTCCTTGACTTTTTACAATAATGAACTAATACAATATCTGTTCTTCTGTGATTGACTTATATCACTTAGCATAATGTCTTCCAAGTTCATCCATATTATGCAGTGTATTGCAAACTGTACGTTATTCTTTAGTGCTGAATATCATTCCATTATGTGCATGTACCATAGTTTGGTTATCTACTCTTCCGCTGATGGGCACATAGGTTGTTTCCATCCTTTTGCTATCGTAAATAGTGTGCAAAGAACATGAATGTGCATATATCTGTTCCTATCCTGGCTCTCACCTCTCTAGGATATATACCTAGTAATGGGATTGCTGGGTCAAATGCTATCTCCAATTCCAGCTTTCTAAGGAATCACCATATTGCTTTCCACAGTGGTTGTATCACTTCACAGTCCCACCAACAGTGTATGAGAGTCCCAATCTCTCCACATCCTCGCCAGCATTTATTTTCGGTCTTGTTGAACCTTTCCATCGGTGCTGGGGTAAGACGGTATCTTGTTGTTTTGATTTACATCGCTCTGATGGCCAATGATTGTGAGCATCTCTTCATGTATTAGCTGCCCACCTGAATATCCTCCTTGGTGAAGTGTCTGTTCATGTCTTCTGCCCATTTTTCAATTGGATTGTTAATTCCTTTGGTGTCGAGGCATTGGAGTTTGCTATAAATCTTGGAGATAAGTCCCTCGCCAGGTATGTAATTATCGGCAGATATGAATTTGTTGCTGTCATTTCTGTTACGTGCTTTTTCGTGGTGGTGTAAATATTTTCCTGTACAATGTTTAATAACGTCAAGGAGCTCTATTATGTGGAAAGGCCAGGATTAAGCGAGCTCTTCTGCAGACTGGGCGTTCCCATTGTTAGGGACTGAGTTAAAACACATCACGTGTTAGAGACATTTGTGGACTGTCATCATCTCTTCAGCAGAAATTCCTTTAGATGGAATTTTGCGGTAAAAGAATGCAAAATGCTTTGATCCAGCAGAGGGTCAACCCCACGCTCTCATCCAGAATGGGAGCAAGCAGGGGAGATCCTTGCTCTGTGAAGGGACAGGAAATAATACTAATCTTTCTCTCTGTGATGAGTGAGTTTGACACTTTTTACTCACACACACACACGCGCGTGCGTGCCTTTTTTCTTTCTGAACTAGGCATTTTCTTACCAAATTATAAGGGCTGGTTATGGAGTCAGACTATTAACTTGTTATCACTTAAAATTTAGATATACTCACCAGCTCTTTTCTTCAGTTTTACAGCATTCTGAACACACTGGTACATTTTCATGACAAACTGTTCTTTGAAATCAGGCTTACCACAGGCTACCCAGCTCCAGTTATTCAACAGTCAGTATACAGACACTAAATACTCACTGTGTCCCTACTGTGTGCTCGGTAGGACGGCAACAAAAGCACTCACCTGGGCTTTCTCCTCAACTAAGCTCTCCCGTGAGAGGGGCTGCATCTTTGCCGCTCTGTTTCTCCGTCTGGGAGTAAGGCCGGTCTCTCCCTGTAGTCGTCAGCTTGAGCACCACTGACGGCGTGGCCTGAATGCCGTTTGCTGCGGGCCACGTGCTGGACGTGCACGGCAGGCTGTTCCCAGCATCCCTGGCCGCCAGCCACTGGATGACAGAAGCCCTTGAGCGAGACGCACTGACACGGCGGCCGCGTGCTGTGCCCTACCACGCCTGCTGCTGTGAGCGTGCTGAAGGAGCAGGCGGCGTTTTGTTCTGTTTCACACGGGGTCAACTCGACAGCACCTAACCGAAATAACGCACCCCTTCAGTCACGACAACCCAAACTGTCCCCAAACGTTGCTGACAGTCCCCTGGGGGCAAAATGACCCCAGGTAAGAACAAGTGCTGCACAGACGTCCTTTTACACTCCTCGCTACTTTGTTCTTCCCTCATCCACGCTCTTCCAAGGTTCTTGACATACTTACTTGTAAAGACTAAAGATTGTTAGATCAGGGGTGAAATTCACAGATCATTAACTTATCTAACTAGTTCCTGTGGGTATCTGAAAGCTCAGTTAGCTTTACTCTTCCTTCCGCTGTGTGTGTGTGTTGTTGCTGTTAGGAGCCAGCGACCCCTCTATACAACAGAACGAAAACCCTGCGCAGTGCTATCTTCATGACCCTGCTGTACCTGAGCCCCTCGGTTCAGCCACTGTCAGTCCATCTCATCGAGGGTCTTCCCTTTTCTGCTGACCCTCTACCCTTCTCTGGGGACTGGTCCCTTCTGACAGCACGACCAGAGTGCAAGACACAAGGGCTCGCCACCCTTGCTTCTAAGGAGCATTCTAGCCGGACTTCCTCCAGGACAGATGTGTTTGCTCTTCGGGCGGTCCGTGGTCTATTCAATATTCTTCACCAGCACAACTCAAAGGCATCCGTTCTGCACGCTTCCTTATTCACTATCCAGCTTTCACATCCACACTGTTGTTGTTACATGCCGTCGAGTCGGCCCCGACTCATAGCAACCCCTCCTTGGGTTGCCAAAGCAGTATCACTACGGAAGTAGATTGCCCAACCTTCCTTCCGAGGAGTGGCTGGTGGGATTGAACCACCAGCCTTCTGGTTAGCAGGCAAGTGCCTTAGGCACTGTGCTACTCAAGCTCCCATATTAGGTAACTGAAAATACCATGGCTCGGGTCGGACGCATCCTTAATCCTCACGGTGACATCTTTGCTCCTTAATGCTGTAAAGAGGTCTCCTGCAGCAGACTTACCCAGTGCAATCTGTCATTTGAGGTTTTTCCCCTTGTTCTTCAGGCTGAGGTTTCCATGATCCATTAGTCCTTTGGATTGTTTGAGCGAGTCTTTGACTTTTGTCGTCTGATTTCCTGCCTGCTGCGTCCCTGGGCGTTGGCTGTGGATCCAAGTAGAAGGAAATGCCTGACAGCTTCAGCATTCTCTCCGTTTATTGCGATGCTGCTGACGGTCAATTGGGGGGATCTTTGTCTTCTTTATGTTGAGCTGTAATCCCAACTGAAGACTATTATCTTTGATCTTCATCAGTAAGTGCTTCAAATCGACTTCACTTTCAGCAAGCAAGGTTGTATCATCTGTGTATCACAGGTTATTAGTGAGTCTTCCTCCAGTCCTGATGTCACGTTCATCTTCATATAGTCCAGCTTCTCAGATATTTGCTCAGCATACAGATTCAATAAGTATGTTGAAAGGATACAACTCTGACACACCCCTTTCCTGATTTTAAGCCATGCAGTATCCCCTTGTTCTGTTCAAACAACAGCCTCCTGATCTATGTACAGGTTCCTCGTGAGCATAATTAAGTGTTCTAGAATTCCCATTCTTCGCAGTGTTATAATTTGTTATGATCCACACTATTGAATGCCTTTGCATAGTCAATAACATACAAAACTAAAAAAAAAAAAACAAACAAACAAACTCAACTGCCATCGAGTCAATTCCAACTCATAGTGACCACCTTTGGGTTTCCAATGTGATAAATCTGTATGGATGTAGATTGCCCAGTCTTCCTTCTGGTTAGCAGTCGAATACCTTAGTCACTATGCCACTAGACATCCTTCAATAAAACACAGGTAAGCATTTTTCTGGTATTCTTTGCCAAGATCTGTCTGACATCAGCAGTAATATCCCTCGTTCCACATCTTCTTTGGAATCCAGCTTGGATTTCTGGCAGTTCCCTGCTGATGTACCGCTGCAACCAAATTGAATTAAATTCATCAGAACTTTATTTGCATGTGATATTAATGATGTTGACTGATAATTTCTGCATTCTGTTGGATCACCTTTCTTTAGAATGGGATCTTTTCCAGTTAATGGGTTAGGTAACTATCTTGCAAATTTCTTGGCATAAAGGAGTGAGGCCTTCCAGCGCTGCATCCATTTGTTGAAACATCTCGGTGGGTATTCTGTTAGTTCCTGGAGCCTGGTTTTTCACCAATTCCTTCATTGCAGCTTGGACGTCTCCTTCAGTACCACCAGTTCTTGATCGTATACTACCTCCTCAAATGGTTGTACGCCAACCAGTTCTTTTTGGTACAGTGACTCCATGTATTCCTTCCATTTTCTTTTGGTGCTTCTTGCATCATTAAATATTTTACCCATAGGATCCTTCAAAATTGCAACTGGAAGCTTGAATTTTTTCTCTACTTCTTTCAGCTGGAGAAATGCTGAGCGTGTTCTTCCCTTTTGATTTTCTGACTCCAGGTCTTTGCACATTTCATTATAATACTTTGTTTTTTCAATCTGCTCTTTGAAATCTTCTGTTCAGATCTTTTATTTCATCATTTCTTCCATTTGCTTGAACTACTCTTCATTTGCAAGTTTCAGAGTCTCTTCTGACATCTATTTTGGTCTTTCCCTTTTTTCCTGTGTTTTAGATTATCTTTGGTTTTGTCTACTTGGAAAACCCAAAAATTATTTTTCTGCTATTTCCTTGGATTTTCCAGGTACACAATCCTATCATTAACTTTGTTTTCTTTTCTCAGTTTATTCCACTGACCAAAACTTCTAGAACATTAAGAATAATGACAGTAGAAATTCTCATGGTTCCCTTTTGGGTCTGTAAACGCTTTCTACACACATAGGAACTATACGCAAACTCAAACTCTCAACAAGGCCCACGAGTCACCCAAAAAGGTTAAGAAACTCTCCTTGAAAGCACAGGGATGACTAGAAGTTCTCTACAAAGTATCTCCCAGTTTTAATAAACACAAAGTAACTGTCCACACACTCTTAGGAAACAGCCAAGGTCTGTGGTCCCCTGAAAGTAGTGAACATGCCAAGTAGCACCTACAAAGGCCAATACATCATCTCTAGGTTAAGAGATTGAGAGAATGGATGAACCGACGGACAATGGCCAGACCAGACCGAAACCCAGAACTCTGACCCACAACCTGCAGCTTCCAGCCCAAGAAGCCAAACAAGAACTCCTGTAACAATGGGCCCCAAATGGCCAGGACTTGATTAATGAGGACGTTTCCAAAAAAAAATAAATAAAATCTAAAACCACAACTACACCCACTGCAGTTGAGTCGGTTCTGACCCACAGCGCCCCTAGAAGACAGAGTGGAACCGCTCCATAGGGTTTTCTAGGCTGTCAATCTTCACAGAAGCTGACTGTCTCATCTTTTTCCTACAGAGCAACTAAACCAAAAACCACTCATTGCCATCCAGTTAATTCCAACTCATAGAGCCCCGTTTGGGTTTCTGAGTTGGCAAATCTGGGTTTGAACTGCCGACCTTTTGGTTAACTGCCCAATGAGGACCAAAAAGCCCGAACTAGACTCACTGCCATTGAGTCCTTTGGGACTCAGGGCAGCCCCCATTGGGTTTCCGAGGCTGTCAATATGTACAGAAGTAGATGGCCCAGTCGTCCTTATGCGGAGAAGCTGGTGTTTGAACCGCTGACCTTCCGGTGAGCGATTAAGTCCTCTATCCACTATACCACCAGGGCCCCTTCACGGAGAAGGACCAACAAAAAAACCAAACTCACTGCCCTCTTGTCAGATCTGACTCATAGCGACCTCTCCTTGGGTTTCCTAGGTGGTATCACTAGGGACGTAGATCACCCAACCCTCCTTCTGAGGAGCGGGTGGTGTGTTTGAACCGGCAACTGGTTAGCAATCAAATGCACATTACATCATAAGCCGTCCAGGGGCTTTGCAGGGGTGTGCATGCGCAGTCGCCCTGCTGGGCCAAGAGCACTGAGGGGGGTCTTTCTGCTCGGGTCCACAAATGCTGTGCGCTGATTGGACCTGGCCCTTAGGACGTAAGTTCCAAGAACCAATGAGAAGTCTGGAGGCCGGGCCTGTCCGGTGAGAGTGAGGCGGGGACGGGATCTGCGTTACCACGGCGCCGGCCTACGAATGCCGGGAGGAGAGCGCGGTGTCGCCATGTGTCTCCTCTTGGGAGCCGCGGGTGTCGGCAAGACGCTGCTGGTGAAGCGACTGCAGAATATCCTTCCGCACCGGGCGGGGGGCGGGGGGGGCAGAATGGGGGAGCGGCGGACGGAGGTGGGACGCGCAGAGTCCTTCAGCTCGGCTCCGGTACGGGTCCTTGACCACTTCCACAGCTGAGCGCCCACGACGGGAAGGGCGACCTGGGGGACCCGCCTCCGACGCGGCCCACGGTAGGTACGGCCCCGCAGGTCCGCCCCCATAGGACGCTGTCGCGGTTGCGAAGCGCTTTAGGCTCTGGTAGGTGGGTGCTAAGCACAGCTTTCGGGGAGGCGCGTGGGGTTTCCGCGAAGGGGGAGCGCCCTCCAGCGGCACCGAGCGGACGGGACGGCAGGTGCGCGGCGGGCTCCGTCCTGCCACCTCCGTCCCCGCGAGGTGGCCTCCCAACTTCACAGTCCCCAGAGCGCCCTCTCGCGGCCGCCCCGAAGGCGAGTTCCTCTGACCCCGACGGCGCTGCGGCCCCAGCGCCGACAGCGGGTGTCCGGGCCCCTGGCAGCACCGTCAGCCGCCTGTTCCGCACTGCCCAGCGCCGAGCCCTTGGACAGCGGCAGTTGGGTTCCGGTCCCGGTGCAGAGTGCTGGGCACCTTCCACTGAGGATTGACTGGAGAAGCCTTGTCATGTTGAGCATGTTACTGTGCTTGAGGGGAAAGTGTACAGAGGAAATTCGTTTCCATAGAAGAATCCCCGCTAAACAAGGGGCTGGTCGGCCATGCCACCCTCAACCTGCATGACCGTGAGAGCGGAAGAACTAGGTGGTGGACAGCTACCACTGTCAACCCCTGGGAGGGGCATCAGTGCTGGAGATGGTGGGTAGAGTGGGAGAGTAATGTGCAACAAAACTCAAAATCATAAAAAGAAAAATCATGTTTACTGGTCTGATAGAGCCCGCTCAGACCCCCAAGACTATGACCCCTACTTACCCTTCCGGTCTGGGATTGAACTCAGTCCCGCGGCTTCCGGCCAAACAATAGACAGGCGTGTGGAGAACAGAAGGGCAGTGTTTGCACAGGAGATAGCTGGGACAGCAGGAGTTCATGGGAAGGAAGGACACAGGGAAGAGGTAACTACAGGGAGGAAGTCGGAAGAGAGCTGTTACATTGTGGAGACTGAAGTCAATGTCATGAGGCAAAATGTGTATGAACTGCTGTATGGAAAATGAATTTATTCTGTAAACTTTCACCCAGATTTCCCCCCCCTCACAAACACACACACACACACACACACACACTCTGGTTGGAAACCATACCCCCAAGGAAACTCCATGCGCTTGACTAAGGCAGTGCAAGGTTGTGGAGGGTGGTGACTGGAGTCCCACCCAGAAGGAAAGCAGTAAGTCCATACATCCCACCTTAATCCTGCCTCATTGGCAACACTCCCAGATGGGACCATAATACAAGGCATAGAGACACATGTCAAAATGAAGAGGCATTACCTCCTTATATAACTGTCAGATTACAGTACTTACACAGCTGCCAAACCACTGGAAAGCATGGCCCCAGGAAGTTGACATACAACCCTAACCGTTACCTGTTTCATACACCTTATTTGTATCAGCAGCAGGTTGTCCCTTTACACCACAGGCGCCTTATTTGCATAGTCCCACCCAGTCTTTGTGTGTGAGGCTGCAGAAAGGACATGAGGGAGGCATCCTCATCTGACTTCCTCTAACTTCATGAAGGGGAGAGGGAACTGCCATCAGTGTCAACAGCCAGGGCTGGTTCCTAGGAGGTCAAAGTCAGACTTGCTGCTACCCTGGAACCTTTTTACAAGGTCTGACACCAGCTGTCCCTCCCACGGCACTCTGCTGGTTCAATAAGTCCTTGCAGTGGCCGCACACAACTCACAGATAATACGATTATGGGATTTATTAGGGAAGTAACAAGTTCCTTTCAGGTTTGGGAACACTCAAGGTACAATTCTTCAGTCAGTATGGCCTCTCCTGTCTGGCCTCTGCCCAGCTCTGCCAATATACTCCACCAGGGAGCGTCCTGCCCAAGGGCACTCAGTGTTCTTGCCCAGTCTCCTGCCGGTCTCTTGGCTCTGTTGTCTCTGCGGCAGCTGTCTTGTTGTTTTGGTGCAGGGAGCTTGGGTCCAAAGTCATGCTTTACTGCTTCTCTCTGATGGTAATGAGGTCCCCCTTTTCCCCTCTGCGATGGCTCACTTTGAGCCTGGTGCAATGGCGAGACAGACCCGTCCTCAAGAGTTCTGTACAGCTCCCTTGCATGCTCCCACCCCCCAAGTGTGCCATGTACCTTCTTTACACTTAGCAAGCCCTGCAGTCGGTCTGCTGGACCACAGTCACCTCACATTTACATAGTTCCGGTCATCTGGTGGGAGTCACAAAGGCTGTACCACAAGTTTGGATCAGAATTGCATTATAGCTATGGATCACTTTGGGTGGGTGGTGGTAGGTGCCATCAAGTCGTCTCCAACTCATAGTGACCCCATGCACAGCAGAACAAAACGCTGCCGGGTCCCGCACCAGCTCCATGATCCTTGCTGTACTTGAGCTCATCACTCCAGCCACTGGGTCAGTCCATCTCGTTGAGGGCCTTCCCCTCTATCATTGACCCTCCACCTTACCAAGCTTGACATCCTTCTCCAGGGAATGGTCCCTTCTGATAACATGACCAAAGTAGGTGAGACGAAATCTGGCCATTCTCACCTCCAAGGAGCATTCCAGCTGCACTTCCTCCAGGACAGGTCTGTTAGTTCTTTTAGCAGCCCACAGTACTTTCAGCATTCTTCACCAGCACCACAACTCAAAAGCATCAACTCTTCTTCAGTCTTCCTTATGCATTATCTACCTCTCACATGCATATGAGGCGATTGAAAATACCATGGCTTGTGTCAGGTGCACCTTAGTCCTCAAGGAGACATCTTTGCTCCTCAGCACTTGAAAGAGGTCCTTTGTAGCTGACCTGCCCAGTGCTATACGTCGTCTGATGTCCTGACTGCTGCTTCCATTGGCGTCAGTTGTAGAACCAAGCAATGTGAAGCCTTTGACAACGTCAGTCTTTTCTCCATTTACCATAATGCTGCTTATAGGTCCAGTTGTGAGGATTTTTGTTTTCTTTACATTGAGATGTAATCCATACTGCAGACTGTATTCTTCAGTCTTCATCAGTAAGTGCCTCAAGTCATCCTTGCATTCAGCAAGCAAAGTTGTGTCATTAGCGTATCGCAGGTTGTTAATGATTGTTCCTCCAATCTTGATTCATATCAATTCTTCTTCATATCGTCCAGCTTCTCGGATTATTTGCTCAGCATATAGATCAAATAGATATGGTGAAAGGATACAACCCTGACACAAACCCTTCTTGATTTTAAACCATGCAGTGTCCCCTTGTTCTGTTTGAATGACAGGTCTATGTACAGGTTCCTCATGAATACAATTAAGTGTTCTGGAATTCCCATTCTTCTCAATGTTATCCACAGTTTGTTATGATCCACACAATCAAATGCCTTTGCATAGTCAATAAAACACAAGTAAACATCTCTCTGGTATTCTTTGCTTTGAGCCAAGATCTATCTGACATCACAATGATATCCCTTGCATTCCATCACCAGGGATAATTAACACATCTTGATTCCACATTTCGTCAATTTCAGACTGCAGAAGCTGATAAAAATCTTCAGTTTCTTCATCTTTGGCTTTGGTGGTTGGTGTGTAAATTTGAATAATAGTCATATTAACTGGTCTTCCTTGTAGACATATAGGATATTATCCTATCCTGACAGCTTTGTACTTCAGGACAGATCTCAAAACATCCTTTGCGATGATGAATGCCACACCATTCCTCTTCAAATTGTCATTCCCTGCACAGTAGATCATATGGTTGTCTGATTCAAAATGGCCAAAACCAGTCCATTTCAGCTCACTAATGCCTAGGATATCAATCTTCATGTGTTCCATTTCATGTCTGAGAACTTCCAATTCTCCTAGATTCATACTTTGTACATTCCATGTTCTGATTATTAATAGATATTCGCAGCTCTTTCTCCTCAATTTGAGTGGTGCCACGTTAGCAAATGGAAGTCTCAAAAACTTTACTTTATCCATAGCAGTAAGGTTGGTTCTACTCTGATGGTGCAGCTCTTTCCCAGTCGTGTTTTGAGAGCCTTCTAAACTAAGAGGCTTGTCTTCCTGCACTGTGTGGGACAATGCTTCTGGGCTGCACGAAGTTGCTCAGTAATATATCAGACAGTGTCTCTCTGCTATTCATAAGGTTTTCCCTGGCCAATTCTTTGAGACGTAGATGGCCTCTTTACTGGTGCATTTAAACCATTTATATTCAGTGTGGTGATAGATAGGCATGAATTTTGTTACGCTTTTTTTTTGTACATGGTGCTAATAGTTTCTTAAGGAGCTCTGATAACATAGTGGCTAAAGCATTCAGCTGCTAAGCAGAAGGTTGGTGGTTTGAACTCACCAGCTGCTCCACAGGAGAAAGATGAAGCAGTCTGCTTGTGTAAAGGTTGACTGCCTTGGAGACCCTACTAGACAGTTCTACTCTCCTGTGGAGTGGTTATGAGTTGGAATCAACTTGATGGCAGTGGGTTTGATTTTTTGGATTTGGTTCCCTGTTTTCAGTTTTGTAGCTTTATTTTACTTTTGGAAGTTCTTTATCTGGGTTGGTATCTGAGTGATGCTGTTATGTGTCTTAATCTCAGATTGTTGTCTGATGTCCTTGATTCTTTATCCAAAGGATGCCCTTTAATATTTCTGGTGAGGTTGGTCAGGTTTTTACCAATTCCCTTAGTGTATTTTCATCTGGGAATGTCCTACTTGTACCATCATATTTGAGACACAGTGGTGCCCGAATAGACACAGTAGTGCCCGAATATACAGTTCTTGGTTGGCAATCCTTTTTTTTTTGCAGGGTTTTATATATGACATTCTATTACCTTCTTGACTGCATGGTTTCTTCTGAGAAATCAGAACTTAGTTTTATTGGTTCCTTTTGTAAGTGATAACTGTTTGTCCTAAGCTGCTTTCAGAATTCTTTGTATTTTGTTTTGGAAAGTTTGATTGTGATATGTCTTGTTGACTTTCTTTTAGGGTCTCTTCTGTATGGGGTTAGTTGAGCTTCTTGAATGGAAACTTTCTCATCTTTCATGATACCAGGAAAGTTTTCTGCTAGCACATCTTCAAAAATTTGTGCTTTCCCCCCGCTTCCTGTTCTGGAATTCCAATCATGAATAATTGATGGTGTCTCATATAACTCTTAGGCTCTCTTCATTTTTCTTTGTTCTCTTTTGATTGTTCCTTGAATAAATCAGTGTAAAAGGATTTGGGCTCTATTTTGCTGATTCTTTCTTCCGTTTATCCAGTTCTAGTTCTGTGCCCTTCTGTTACCTATTTCTGACACTCCACCATGAAGCTCCTGGATTTCTGTTTGCTGTTTCTGTGTGGTTTCTCATTGTCCATGTGTTTCATCATTTTGGTCCTGCATTGTTTTCCCAAATTATTATAAAAATTTCTATGTGTTTTCCTTGGTCTTTTTGAGGTCCTGTGTGTAAGTGTTTTGAATTCCTTGTCAGATAGCTGTACTACCATTTCTTTCTTGGGAAGGGTTTCTGCCCTTTCATTTTGGCCACTTCCTTGAGCCGTTTTGTCCTGTTTATGTGCTTTAATACTGTCTTCATACTGCGAGGCATTAGGTGTTGATTTCATCCTGGTTTTTTGTTTAGTTTTGTTTTGTTTAATACTGTCTTCATACTGCAAGGCATTAGGTGTTGATTTCATCCTGGTTTTTTGTTTACTTTTGTTTTGCTGTATCAGGGCAGGTGGGTGGGCATGCTCCATTGGTTGCTAGTGGGCAGCACGGGCACACATCATGTGTCTCTGGGTGGGTGAGCAGATGGTTGGTGGTGTGAGCATGGGTCTCTATTCACTGCTCATATGGGCAGGCTGAGCATGGGCTGGGTGAGTGAGGGCACTCGCTGTGTGGGCAGGGTGGCCGAGGCACAGGACCACAATCTCCACCATCTTCCAGGTTTGTGTGCAGAGGTGTGTGGCAGGTGAGTGGGCACACAGGAGCATGCTCTCTAGTGCTCACCAGGGCAGTGGGTAGAGGTGTGTGACAGGCACATGGGAGTGCGAGGGTGCACTTCTGTCACTTGTTGGGTGGGCAGGGAGGGCAGGCGATGGTTTTGTACTATGGTTTCTGGTTAGCCAGTGTGGCAGGGGCATGGGCGCTCCTGCTACTGTGATTGGGGGGGGAGCATACTCCTCTGGTCACTGGAGGTGGTGCCAGGAGAGGGGTGGCTTCCTGGTGAGGCATCCAGTGTCAACACTCTGCCTCTGTTACTCCATGTGTCCCACGTCCCCCAGTGCAGAGGGCCCACTTTGGGTGTAGACCTGCCTCTTGACCCAGCTCCCTCTCTGCTCTGTGGAACTTTAACCTTCTTTCCTGCACTTCTTCTTCTTAGGCCCCAGATCATGTCCTGCCCACCTTGCTTCACCCCAGTTATATCAACACAGCTTTCCTGCCTAGTGAATTCCATGAAGCTGCCTTCCTGCACCCCTCGCCCACGGCTTCTGCTGTTTCTGGGTGGTTTCCAGTTGTCCATATAGTTCATCATTTTAGTCTTGCATTGTTTTCCTGAATCACTCTAAAGTCTTGTCTGTGTTTTCCTTGGTTGTGAGATGGCTGCCCTGGGCTGGGATGGAGGGCAGGGCACCTCTGCTGGACATCACTCCTCATTTGCTGCCTGCTTCGAGTTGGTCTTGGAGCCTGTTGTTCCTCTTTCTCCTGTGCAGGGTGCAGGACTGTCACCTGTATCTGCCTCACTAGGGTTCCTGACCTTGCTTTGAAGGATAGTATGGTGTGTCTAAGCTGCCATCTTGGGCCCTCAAAGCTCTTGTGTTCCTGTCTCTTCGCTTTTCCCACAGGTGGGCACCAACCTCACCGACATCGTGGCCCAGAAGAAGATCACCATCAGGGAGCTGGGGGGATGCATGAGCCCCATCTGGCCCAGTTACTATGGAACCTGCCGTGCTCTCCTGGTGGGTCAGAACCCTGGGCCTCCTGAGGTAGTTGGGCTCATTCCCGCCTTGCTAGCCCAGGATGGGGTTTGGATTCTTTGCTGGCTGTGCTATGCAGGGAAACGGGGCCTCCACGGTCATTGTTTCCTTCTCATACCCAAGCCTGGGTCTCTACTGTGCATGCCCCAGAGCTGATGTTAATGCTCATGGAGGCAGACAGTTGTCCCATACCTCTGCCCTGGCCCCATATCTTTACGTTCACATGTGATGTCTGCATCTCTCTGCTGGGCCCATCCTGACAAGGCCTGGGCCCCACATTCCAGACCCTTCCTTGGAGAACTGGTGTCCACATTAGTGGAGGCTTCCGTGGAGGGGATACCGGGTCACCCCACATGGCTCCTTTCCCTCTGCTACTACCTGTTCCCACAGCCCTTTGTTAAGAGCTGTCTTTCTCTCCTAGAGCCAGCTCTGGGCCCCGTGGGTGCCCGCTGTGGCCTTCCTGACCTCTCCCTTCTCCCCCAGTTTGTGCTGGATGCCTCTGACCCCACGCAGCTCTCTGCGTCCTGTGCTCACCTCCTGGGTCTCCTTTCCTCAGAAGAGCTGGCAGAGGCCTCGGTCCTGGTACTCTTCAATAAAACGTGAGGGTGTGTGAGTGGAGGGAGCCTGCGCCCCGGGGCAGAGCCCGAGTGTAGCTGGCGATGGCACTTCAGGGCTGGGCTTTGGCTGGGCCTCTGGGGTGGGTCTGGAACAGCTGCCAGACTGATAGCCCTTCTTTGACCCCAGTGACCTGCCCTGTTACATGACCGTGGAGGAGATGAAGTCGTTAATGAGGCTCCCAGACATCATCGCCTGCGCCAAGCAGTGCATCAGCACAGCGGAAATCAGCGCCTGGGAAGGCACTGGATTGGCGGGGGTGCTGCGCTGGCTCCAGGACACCCACAGAGCCAGCCGTTGACGGCCAGCTGGGGCGGCCAAGAGGGATGCTGCCAGGGCTCCAGGGTTGGTTCTTGTAGGGCAGAAGGACCCATGTGAGCCTGAGAAGACTCCTGTGCTGAGTTGCAGTGACAGGTAAACTGAGGCACCTAAAATGCAGACGCTCCAGATACCTGGCCTCAGAGTGATGCTCCCGGAGAGACCATCCCCGGGACTGGGAGAGGTGGCCAGGCCTGCTGGGTGGCTCATCCGGCCACCATCCTTCGGGGCACCATCTGAGGCTCCTACCATGCGCTCCCCCCGACGGGAGCACACCTTGGGCAGAACAGTGCACTGAGACGTGGCCTCACAAACCCTGAACCCTGTGGGTCTCTGATGTTCTGTCTGCGTCCCCACAGGTAACAGGAGGTGGACGGCATGATGCCACGGTTACGGGATCCATGTGCTCAGAGGCTTATTGGCTCCGTACATATTTGTTGAATCCCTGCCACCTACTAGCCCTGAGGTGCTGCGGTGTACAGGTTTCTGTGGGTCAAGGGAGGGGGCGAGGAGAAGTTCAGGAGAGGCCCAGGAAGGAGATGGCCAGTTTGCTAACAGGGCCTCAGGGAGAGCTGCGTCTGCCATGGGCAGCTGGTGCGTCCCTGCTGGCTCCAATGCCAAACAGGAGCACTGGCAGTGTGAGTAGCTCAAGGGCCCTAGTGCTTGCAAAGAGGCTTTTTTACAAATGGATGCTTTTGACCTAAGCACTAGTGCCCTCGGCACCATTCCTTGCCCCTCGTTTGCTTCCACTGTTGCTTTCTTGCTGCGCATCCACGTTGCACCACCAGCCTGGAGGACAGCAGACCTGCCCTGGCCTCCTCACCCCCGAGCACCCCTCCTCTCATAGCTGGTTCTTCACTCTTTCCTGAGACTCACCTCCATGGCACTCAGCAGTCCGTCCCCAGAACTGTGCCATGGGGCACAATGGCTCCAAGCTGGGCAGCAGCTACTGACTGCAGCTATGGAAGATGACACGTGGCCCTGACACCCTCCACTCCACTTCTCTCCCCACCTCTCCATGTGGTACACTTGGGCAGTATCTGCATTATTGTAAATAATAATAATAAACCATTTAAGTGCTGCCCACAGAAAAGCCTCATGGAGTGCTGACAGGACCTTCCTCTTTTTTCTTAATTTTTATTGTGATTTGGGTAAGTTTACAACAAATTCACTTCCATACAGCAGTTCATACACATTTTGTTTCATGACATTGACTGCAATTCCCCACAATATAAAAGCTCTCCTCCCACTTCCTCCCCGTAGTTACCTCTCCCCTGTGCCCTTCTTTCCTATGCACTCCTGCCCCCTGAGCTATTTCCCTGTGCAAATCCTGCCCTTCTGTTCTCCCACGATTGGCTGTTCTAAGGAGTGTATCTACCTGATGTAAATGTTCACCCTGTAGGTGTTCTGTTCATTCTTTTGCTTGTCTCTTGCAGTCCTTATTTCCATCTCAGTATCAATCATTCCAATGAACTTTTAAACCCTCATACTGTCAAACACATGAAATGCTTCTTGGACACGTCACCTTGTGGGCCCCTCTGTCCCCTGCCCCAGTCTGGTGGACAGTTCCTCTGAGCTGGGCACTGATCAGGAAAATGAGAAAAGACAAAGCTACTCAGACTTGGAATGAGAGAAGTGATATCATTACAGAGTCTACAGATACTAAAGGATGATAACGGAATACGAAGAGCAACTTGATGCCAATAAATTAAACAACCAAGATGAAACGGACATGAGGGTCACAAACTACCACAGCTCACTGAAGAGGAAACAGCCAACCTGAACCACCTTATATTTATTTAAAGAATTGAATTTGTAATTAAAAACCTTCCCACAAAGAAAACTCCGGGCCCATATAGCCTCATTGGTAATTTCTATTGGACAATTTTTTAAAAATAAACATTTCAATTAAAAACTAGACAGATTTTAATCAACATATATGAAGCATTTAATTGACCTTCAAAGAGGTCTTTATTGTAAATAATTGCAACAGTAAGGGATTTTAAACTGTAAAATTCTTCCACTGAAAATAAAAGACTAAGAAAAGAGGGGTAATGTTCAGGAATTTAGCTTCTGTCAACAAGAAGTGAACATAGGAAAGATGATTGTGGACATACTGCTGTGTATGTGTTCGTCGCACGTCAGTCCACCGTCTGCAGGTAGCCCGAGTGGCCAGAGTCAAAGCCCCTGACTGGCATAAGGCTCTGCGGGGTCTGAACTGCTGCTCCCAAGCTCATGTCCTGCCACTTGCCTTGACCCGACAGGGCTTCTAAGTAAGAAGTAATGCTAACGCTACACACACTTCCAGGAAACTGAACAGGAGAGGACATTTCCAGACTTGCTCTTTGAGGCCAGCATTCAGCTGATACTGAAACCAGACAAGACATCAGAAGGCAACTACAGACCAACATTCCTCAAACACAGATGCAGACATTCTAAAACAAATTTCAATAATATGTAAGAATACTACCTCATGACCAAGTGGCATTTATCCCAGGAATGCAAAGTTGGTTGAACACATGAAAATCAATCAACATAATTCCCTATATTGGCAAACTGAAAAGGAAAAACCTTATCATTGCTAAGGCACAGGAAAATCATTTGACAAACTCCTGTATCCATTCATGGGAAAACAGCACACTGGGAAGGAAGAGAACTTTGTCACCCTGGTGGAGGACACCTATAGATACTATTGTTAATGTGATGCAGGCATACCTCGGAGATACCATGCACTCTGTTCCAGACTACCAGAGTAAAGTGAACTTCTCAAATCGTGAATATTTGGTTTCCCCATGTGTATAAAAGTTATGTTTCAACTGTTATCTATTAAATGTACAAAAGTTTGAAATACCGTTGAGGATGACCAAAATGTAATACAAACACATAGTGAGGACATGCTGTTGGGAAAATGACACTGGCACATTTGCTTGATACAAGGGTGCCACAAACCTTCAAGCTATAGAAAATGCAGTATCCGTGAGGTGCACTCAAACAATGTGTGCCTGCACTTCACACAGAAACACAGTGCTTTTCTCCTACGTCAGAAGCAGGGCAAGGATGTCTTCTCTCAGTCCGTCCAGTCATCGTTGTACTGGAGGTTCTGACCAATGCAGTCCAAGAAGAAGAAGGTTAACCAGATGGAAAGGAAGAAGCAAACTATTTCAGGAAGACGTACAGAAAGCTACCAGGACTAAAGCGTGTAGCAGAGCTGCAAGATGGATCAATATGCAACGGTCAACCCACCTCTGTATATTAGATATGAGCACCTGAAAACACATTTAAAAAGTAGGACTTCAATTAGCATCATAAACTAGGCAATGCTTAGGAACAAAACTGACAAGATATGCAAGCACTGTGCATTGGATATTACAAGCCACTGTTAAGAGGAACTAAGGGGAAACCTTCATAATTGCAGACATGCACCCTGCGGGGGGGGGGGGGATGGATTCGGTGGTGGTGTCAGTTCTTCCCAAATTGATGTACAGATCCATTGTTCCACAGAGTAGCTGGTGGGCTCGAACTGCTGACCTTTTGGTTAGCAGCCAAAGGCCTTAAACCACTGTGCCACAAGAGCGCCTCTGCTGTTTGTAAACCTAACATGCAAGGGCCCTGAATGGGCAGAACAACTTTGAAATGGAAGGGAAGTTAGAGGGATTTCAAACTTGCCTTAAAATCCCATGGACGAAGTCAGTGTGGAACTGGTATAGACACAACTAGATCAGCGGAACGGGAGTGTGGACGAAGAACCACACATACAGCATGAATTGATTTTCAAGAAAGATGGAAGGAACTTCATGGAGAACGGATTGCCCGTCACCAAAGGGTGCAGGTATAACTGGGTTTTCACGGGCAGCCTGCAAGGCGGGCCTCCGCTGGCTGGGTGGGAGTGCCCATCACCAAGCGCAGTGCCAGGCCCCTGCACACGGACCTGGCAGGCGGGGGCGTATGCAAAGACCCCAGCAGGGCCTCGTGCCCGCCCAGGCGCTGCCAAAAGCCACGGCTGTCCTGGGGCCGGATGTGACCGGAGCTCACCAAGCGGCTGCGGGTGGCTGTCGCTTGACTACAAGGGAAGTGGGGCTTTTCTGTCCCATCGGTAACTGCAGGAGGCCGGTCTGCACGGCTTCCTTTCCCAGCAAACAGGGTCTTAACTTGCCTGGCCTGAGGACGCGCATGACATCACAAAGCCGTCTGTTCAACCCCACAGAGAAGGCTTTTATTCCCACGTAAAGTCAATAAATAATCCTCCTCCCATCCAACCCAACCAACCCCATGTAAGAGGCAGGAACCTCGGTGCCCTGGTGGCCCCGGAGGCGGAGCTGCCAGGCCCTGGTCTCCGCCGCGGGGCTCCGTGGCTCAGCCGCCGCAGCGCAGGCGCAGTTGGATCTCCATCCGGATGAAGGCCTTGAGGTTCTCGTCCTCCACGTGGGTCTCCAGAGCGCTCAGCGCCCGCTGCCCGCCGTCCTGGTAGTGCCGCAGCAGCGCCTCCGCATACGCCACCCACACGCAGTTGGGGCAGCCGCTCATGCAGCAGTTTGTGGGGGGCTGGAGCTCAGGCGGCGTCGGGTACTGGGGCTCTGCGGGGCACCCACTGGGCAGGGAGGGATCCCGCTGCACACTGCCATCCGCACCCACCTGGGAGGCCACTTCCTTGTGGTCCTTCCCAAAAGCTCTCCGGCCATCACACCCTCTGACCACGGCAAGGTGCTTGTGAACGTCGCCGCTGCCGCCTCTCGGGAGCCCTTGGCACCAGTCCCCACCACAGGGGAGCAGCTGTACCCCCTAAGGAAGCAGACAGGCACACGGCGCTCAGGAGTCTGGTCAGAGGCCTGGCCTGCCCAGCAATAACCTGTCCAGCCCTCCTGACATGGGCTGGTGGCTCCTTGTCCTCCTGAAGTCCTCTTACTGACCTTGCATGTTGCCTACAGAAGGAGCACTGGCTGCTCAGTGGTTAAGCACTGGGCTGCTAAATGAAAGGTCAGCTGTTCGAAGCCCTAGCCGCTTTGCGGGAGAAAGCTCGTCCAGGGTGACAGCATCGCGAACCCCTGTGGCCGCGCGGTGGGGACCGATACTGCCCCCCCACTTCCAAGACTCCTCTGCGCGGTGCTGCTGTTCCCCCCGGAAGCCAAGCCATGCTCAAGGGGGAGCGGGGCCGGGGGCCATGTAGAGCGGAAGCGGAGCCCTGAGGCCCTGGGCCCGGATAAGCCGTGCCAGAACCCCTGCCTTCTACTGTGTGGCGGCCGCGCCCGGCGCCTCGCGCCCCGCCCCACTACTTGCCGAACTACGGGCTGCAACGACCACCGCCCGGCCACCCCCGGCCACGCTCCGCAGCAGCATCACTCGCAGCTTCGGCACCCCCGTGAGCGGCGGCCGTCCCGGCCAATCGCGATCTGGCAGAGCCCTGCGCTGCTCCAATGAGCTTGGGGCTGAGCGCAGGAAGTGGAAATGGACTCTTGGGCGGGATCACGAAAAAGGGCGGAAGTGGCTTCGCCTGGGACGCTCGGCTTGTGTGATGGCGGGCCTAGACCGCCGAGAGGCCGGGGCCTCCGGGCCGACGGGGTCCGCGGGCCCCAGGCGGCCCAAGCGGCGGCGGCGGCAGCAGGAACTGCAGGGAAAGCAGCAGCCGGCCCCGCGGCAAGGGCAGCGCAGGTGGGTGCCCTCTCCGGGTGTTCCCGCCAACGCGCCCGACCTCCGGACCGCAGTGAGAGTAGCTCCGCTCGTACACCGCGGCCCATTGGCTTAGGTGCCGGTCCTCTGTCTGATCCCGTGGCCGACGCCCAGGGAAGGGTCGTTGGGTGAATGGTGGAGAGTGTCTTCTTCCGGGTGCCCCGTCCTTGTCTTCCGATGCGGTCTGGCGTTGCCTTCCCGATGCTTCCATAGATTGTCTCACCGCGGCTGCCCGGCTCTGGGCGAGGAGCGCGGGAAAGGTACCCGATGCTGTGCCCCGCAGCGTCCGGGGCCAGCCCGGCGTCTTCCCCGCTTTGCAGGCGCCTGTCCTGGGCGGGCCTCACCGCGTTCTCCTCCCCAGCAAAGAAAAGAGAAAAGTGAATTGCAAGCCCCGGAACCAAGACGGACAGGAGATCCCCTTCCGGCTGCGAGAGATCATGAGGGCCCGCCAACAGATGAAAAACCCCGTCAGTAACAAGAGGAAGAAGAGAGACGGTGAGGGGCGGCCAGCGCCGGCGTCGGGGGGCAGATCCACCGAGTTACCCCCGGCAGAGACCCGGTGGTCCGCGGGTGCTGGGTGTGGAGGACCCAGAGTGGTGGCACGCAGCTGGTGTGGCTCCAGGTGCGGCGCCAGGAGCAGCTTGCCGGCCTCCTGGGTCTTGGTCAGGAATGTTGAGCTTTGAACACCTGACAACAGCCGAGACCATTAGACTTTTAAGTGGGTGGTGGTGGTGTGCAGGTTTACACCCAGAGAGGCAGGCGCAGGCTGGGCGGGCGCTGCAAGCAGGAAGTGGCAGCTGCTTAGACCCACCACTGTGACTTGGTCCTGGGAGGGAAGTGGGTGCCGGCAGCCTGCCCTGGTGTGACTGCTCTCTCCTGCCCTCACACTGACTCTGAGTCTCTTTCTGTCTTCAGCCCAGGTGGTCTTCAGAAAGACGCTGGAAAAGGAGGCCAAGGGGCCAGAGTCAGACATTGCTGTCCCCAGGTTCAAGCAGAGGAAGCGGGAGTCGGACAGGGCCTACATCCAGCGCATGGAGCAGGCGGCCCAGCACGTGCTCTTCCTCAGCAGGAACCAGGCCACCCGGCAGCCCGAGGCGCAGGAGGCCCCCAGGAGGGAGAAGTCGGAGCGCAAGAGGGCGTGAGTGGGGTCTTGGTCTTCTTCAGTGGCAGCGACTCGCTGCCGGGGGACCCCCACCTGTGGTTCAGACACTTAAGGCCTGGACTTGGACAGAGGTCCAAGCCGAGCTCAGCCAGCCAGCGTTGTCTCTGCAGGACAGCATCTTACCCTGGGGACTCGGGGGCTGTGAGACTGGGGACTTGCTCTGTTCTACTTGGATGTAAGGAAGCAGCCAAAGGGGCCAAGAGCCAGTCCTCCGGGCTGTGGGGGACCACTTGCTGTGGGGGTGGGGAGAGATGAGGTCCACTCCCTGCCCCAGGGCACCTCACCTGCCTCTGGAGAGTTCGTGCTTGGGATCTGGGTGAGAGCCCTCCCACCTCTGCCCTGCCATCTCTCCCCCCTCACCCTGTTTAGGCTGGGATTGAGCATCTGGTCCCTGAATGGGAGGAAGTTGGACTTTGGTTCGGCTGTGCCACCTGCCTGGGCTCTGTAACCTCTCTGGGCCTGGTGCTGTTCTCTGAAAGGCAGAGGTGACAGAATCTGTCAAGTAGGCTGGTTGCAAGGCTTATGCCTTCCTGGAGAAACTTAGGCTTGTAGGGTGCCTTGCGTCATAGAATACATCACAGGGCACGTTTTGTGATAGGGTGCCTTGCGTCATAGGATACATTGTGTCATGGGATATGCCAAAGGGCACATTACATCATAGGGACGTTATGTCATGGGATATGTCATCAGGCGTATTATATCATAGTACGCATCGTCAGTGACATCCCAAAGCCTGGGGACTTCCCTGTAGATTCCCAAAACCTGAAGGCTACGATGTCACGCAAAGGGTGGCACGTGTGAGGCTTGCAGGCCTGTTGAGAGCAGATGTCTCAACCCTGTGGACATGTGCCGCAGGATCACCACTGTGGGTGCCGTGTGCACTGGAGGGTGTTTGGCAGAAGCCTGGCCTCCACCCCCAGGGAGCAGAAAGCCCTGCAGCTCTGTGTGAGCCAGTGTTGGTACAGCCATTGCTCAGTGAGCCTTAGGGGGCAGGATCACCCCTGGATAGAGACGGCGGAGGGGGCCTGTCAGGGTCAGCTTGTCCCTGATGGTGGCTTAGGGGCCAGTGAGGGCTTGGAGGTAGCCAGCTGGCCTGGGGTTCTGACCACTCATGGGGGATCCCGGCCTCCTCCTTGAGTCCAGCACAGGTGAGTGTGTGAGTCTGAACATGCCGGTCTTCCTGCCCAGGTTCCAGAAGCGGCGGCAGGATAAAGCCCGGCAGAGGAAGGAGGACAAGGTGGCGGACAGGCTGGAACGGGAGCTGCTCCGAGGTAGCTGCCCTCGGTCCCAGGTGGCGGCGCCGGGTGCAGGCCTGCTGCTGCCTGCACTGCTCTCCCGCCGGCACAGCTGCAGTGTGCGTGGGGCGTGGGGGGCGCTCCGTGTACACAGCCCCGGATCAGTGATCAGTCTGCATTCCATGCTCTGGACTGTGGGGGAGGGTCTGGGGGGGCAGGGACGCTCGGGGCCAGGACTGTAGACCTCAGTGGTACTCTCTGTCCCCCAGACACCATCAAGTTTGGGGAGGTCGCCCTGCAGCCTCCAGACTTGGCCGCCAGGCCCAGGAAGAGCCTTGTCAGGGGACAGGTGAGCAGGGCTCTGGGGGTTGGAGGTGGCAGTGTTGCCACAGAGCAGGAAGCCTTGTCAGGGTATCTGTCTGCTGGGGGATCTGGTCTGTGGCCCACAGACGTGAGCGGACACGTTGTCACAGAGCTGAGTGCTGGCCTGATGGTGGCCCTGGCCACTTCATTTCTCCCGCTCTCTCCCACAGCCTGACAGGAAGGCCCTGCTGCTGAAGACGCTTTTGGGGCCTGGCTGTGTGTCCCAGCCTCCGAAGCCCTCGCTGGCCCGGCAGCGGATCGTGGAGGAGGAGCGGGAGCGGGTGGTGCAGGCGTACCGCACGCTCAAGAAGCTAAAGCAGCAGCCGGGGCCGCGGTCAGCCCACCTCCTGCCCTGGAAGAAGCCAGCGGCGGGTCTGTGACAGCAAGACGCGGGGCCGGGGACAGTGGGCAGGAGCAGCCTGGTGTCCCTTGTCCTGACATGCTCACGGAGTTCCCAGGACTGTAGTGCGCAGAGGACTCCTAGAGGCGGCAGGGCTTGGTGTGGCCGGAATGGTACCACGTGGAGGTGCAAGGGCTGACCTCCCCTGTGTACCCGTCTGCCTCTGGCTTCCCACTCAGGTGTCTGCCTTGGGTGCCTCAGCCCTTAGGAGGACCAGACCCAGGGCCTGACAGGGCCACTCTTCATGGCCACTGTCCCTGGCATGCCGGGCAAACACTGCCCAATCTGACCACATGATTGGCCAGAGGAAGCTCAACCGGAGAACTGAGCAGGCCCTGTCCCAATCTGTCCTTGTTCCCTGGGGTGTCCCAATCTGTCCTTGTTCCCTGGGGTGTCGTTTGATGGGTGTTGGCGTTATCGGGGCCTGAGGCCAAGCGAGCACTGCGGGACCACACCGTGCTGTCTCAGCCTCCAGAAGCAGGAGGACTGAGCAGGCCCTGTCCCAATCTGTCCTTGTTCCCTGGGGTGTCGTTTGATGGGTGTTGGCGTATCGGGGCCTGAGGCCAAGCGATCACTGCAGGCCACACCGTGCTGTCTCAGCCTCCAGAAGCAGCTGCTGGCCGGGCTCGCTGCTGTGTGGCAGCCCACCTGAGCCAGGAGAGGCTTTTCTCAGGGAAGTTCATGTGCAGGAACATGGGGGGCTGCTGAACCTCGAAGGCTCATGCGGGTCCTGAGGGCTGGCCTGGGGTCTCCCGGCTGGTCCATCCTTGTTACAAAGGCTGAGCTATCTGGGTGCTCTTTTCCCTTAGTCAACTGTATTGAAGTGTGAATTATTAACAATAAAATACACCCATCTTAAGTCCAGTGAGTTGATAAGTCATCAGTCCATACCACCGTCACTACCACAGTCTCGACATGGATGTTTCCCGTTGTTCCACATTCTACTTTGGGAGTAGCAGCCGGGTTCTTAAAAGCTTGCAAGCAGCCATCTAGATGCAATGGTGGGTCTTTCCTTGTCCAGAGCAAAGAAGAGTGAAGTAAGCCAAAGGTGAACAGAAACAATTAGTCCAAGGAACTGGTACACCACGTGATCCTCAGCCTGTATGACTATGAGACCAGAAGAACTAGATGGTACCCAGCTATCACTGTCAGCCACTCGGAGGGGGGTCTGTGTAGGAGATCCTGGATAGAGTGGGAGAACAATGTGCAACAAAACTCAAATTAATAAAAAATAAAGGACCAGGTTTGCTGGTCTCATAGAGCCTGGTGGAATCCCTGAGACTATGGCCCCTAGCTGCCCATTAGGTCTGGAATTGAACCCACTCGTGTGGCTTCCAGCCAAACAAAAGACAGGCATCTGGGGTGAACATTTATATTAGGTAGATAAACCCCTTGAAGAGATCAATCATGGGAGAACAGAAGGGCTGTATATGCACAGGGAGACAGCTCAGGGCAGGAGTGCATGGAGGGAAGGACACAGGAAAGAGGTAACTATGGGGAGGAAGTGGGAGGGGAGCTATTGCATTGTGGGAAATTTCAGTCAATGTCATGAGACAGTGGATGTGAGCTGCTGAATAGAAAGTTAATTTGCCCTGTAAACTTTCACCCAAATCACAATAGAAATTAAAAAGAAACGGGCATTTCTACCCCTTGACTCTAGCCAGAAGGCTGGCGGTTCAAACCCACCAGCTACTCCTTGGAAGGAAGGTTGGGGAATCTACTTCTGTAGTGATACCACCTTGGAAACCCAAGGAGGGGTTGCTATAGTTGGGTCTGACTCCACGACACATAACAACAACAGACCCTCCTAGCCCCGTCCCACCCCCCAAAAACCACTCATCTTTTCCAGGTTTTCCTGACATCATGGTAAACGGAGTCACTGTATTTCATAGAAACTTGGGTGAACGTTTGGACACCGTCGGGGGAGAGGACAGTGCTGAGGCTCCAGGAACTGAGTCCCAGTGCTTAGCCCTTGCTCCTGGCGCCTGGATGTCACCCTGCCGAGCTGCTCTTCTGCCTGGAGGCAGTAGGGATGGGTGCCATGGAGACACGTGTCATTAGATGGTGTCTTCCTTGTTCTTTCCCTGCTGAACTCCCAGCAGCCGTGGGAGAGTTTGAAGCTTCACTTGAAAACATAAGGCCAAGACGTTGGCCAAACTCTTCCTGGGAAGGCACCAGGGAGGGGAAGGCTGACATGCCCCCCGAGGATCTCCACCCCACCCGGAGCAGAGGAAGGGCCCGAGGGCCAAGAGTGTGTGGGAAACAGGCTCAACAGGTGATTGAGAGTCACTCAGCTGGACCTGAAGGACGGCGTTTATGCAGTGCAGTCATCCCCAGCGAGCAGGTGTTTCCACCCACCTTAGGTTTGCATGGGGTGAAAGGTCGGCCATCGCCATGAGGCCCATGACAGTGACATGACTCGGTGTGAAACCATGCCTCTCCACGCTGTGAGACCTGGCATGCAGGTGCTCCTGCCAGGTGTGCTGGCAACACCCTGTGCAATGACAAGGAAGGACATGGCTGGGGACACGGCCACTGACCGCAGCAGAAATTAAAACCATGCCATGCCCTGACTGGTCATGTACAAAAAATGATGATTCTAAGAAAAACTCACCCACATTGGATCCTGAGTGATAGGCCTCAATCCTGCCCACACTGTCTTCACCTGTGTCCACGGCAAATGTGTCTGAAGGCTTCCTGGTCAGCAGAGTTGGTTTGTCTTAGAATTTGATTACTGTGGGCCCAGTTGTGACACGGGTGCGTCCTCACCGTGAGGACAGGGGCCCGATCGTGACACGGCTGCATCCTCGCCGTGAGGACGGGGGCCCGATCGTGACACGGGTGCGTCCTTGCCGTGAGGACGGGGGAAGACTCCATGTGTTTGGTGGCAGTGCTTTCCTCAACCCCATAAGGTTTCGGGGCCCAGCTGGGAAACGTTCATTCACAGCACCTGTCCTGAGGCCCAGTAGAGAGAGGTCTTCAAGAACCAGCTCGCAGCCGTGGGGGTGCACTCCACCTGCTCCAGCTCGGCCACCTGTCCCTCCTCCAGGCCTGGTGACTCACTGTTTTGGTGGAATGAGTCCTGGAGGTGGCCTTTCACCTTCATACTTTGGGAAAACCTGGAGAGATTGTCCCCCTAAGCTCTGAGGAGCTTAAAAAGCTTTGCCCATTTTCTCCCCTAGAGGGTTCCTTACTTTTGTCCTGGTTGACTTACTTCCTGGAGGAGTTGTAAACAACTTGGTTTGATACTTTTTTCTGGTACCAGGCTGCAGCCTGCCCTGTGATTGGTGTACACCTTGCTGAGATTGGTTAATATACTATGCAAATGAAGTGACTATAGTCTACTATGCAAATGAAGTGTCTGTGGCCTACCAAAAGGGAATAGGTCAGTTTGTGGCCCTAGTGGGAGGGCCGTGTCTTAAAATTGGCAAGGAATTTGATTATATATGAAACCACCCCCACGGGTTTTTTGTTTTTTTTTTTGACAAAAAGCAGGAAGGAGAAAAAGCAGGAACCTGAGACCAGAAGAACTAGATGGTGTCCCGCTACCACTGCCAACCATTCTGAAAGAGAATATAGTAGAAGTCCTGGTTAGAATGGGAGAAAAATGTGGAACAAAATTCAAAACCATACAAAAGGCCAGGCTTACTGGTCTCATAGAAACCTGTGGACTCCCCAGACTGTGGCTCCTAGACAGCCTTCAAACCTGGAGCTGAACTCAGCAGCGGGGCTCAACTCAGCTCAATAATCGTTGTTAGGTGCTATCAAGTGTGTCGCCGGTCATGGCAACCCTGTGTTCGACGGAAATAAACACTGCTTGGCCCTGCACCATCCTCATGCCCGTGGCTGTGTTTGACCACTGGTGCAGCCACGCTGTCAGTCCATCTAGTGAGGGTCTTCCTCTTCCTTCCCGAACCCTCCACCTTATGAAGTTACAAAAAGTGCATGGAGGGGCATCTTCTGACCTCCTCCATTTTCACAAGAGGGAGACAGAGTCCCCACTAGCAGCCCAAGGCTGATTCCTATGAGGCCAGACATACTGCCACCCTCCAGCCTTTTACCAATTCTGACACCAGCCTTCCCTCTCACATTACTCACTACTTCTCTGCTGGATTTAATAATTCCGTGCAATGGCCACACAGAACTCACAGACAATACTCACGATTCTGGGCTTTATTAGGGAAATAACAAGCTACAGTTCAGGTTCAGGAACAGTCAGGACACAGTTCTTTGATCAGGACAGTCTCCGCTCTGCTGTGCCCTCAGACACTCCTCTCTGGCTCTTCGCCTCTCAGCCTGGCCTCTGCCCTGCTTGGGCAGGTGTTACAAAGCTCTTTTAGCTCTGCCGACAGGTCCATCTAGGTGCACCCCAGTCTGTCAGCAAGCCTCCTGCCCAAGGGCACTCAGCTTTCTCGCCCTGTGGGCCAGGCCAGCCTGCCACTCTGTCTCATGCCCCTTGGTTCCACTGTGACCATCTCTCTGTCAGGGCGTCTCTGGCAAGGAGGTCCAGCGCAGGGATCTCAGGCCCAAGAACCTGCTCCACTTCACCTCCAGCTCTTCTCTCTTCAAGGCAGTGAGATCCCCTCTCTGGCTCTAGGAGGTCTCATGTTAAGCTTGGCAGAGTGACAAAACTAACCAATCCCAACATCAGAGCTCTACACACCTTATTTGCATGACCCCACCCAGTAATCCAGTGGGAGTAACAAAGACCCTGGCTAGAAAAGCCATGCCAAGTCATTCGCTGCACCACAGAAGTATAATGTCCTTCTCTAGGGACTGGCCGCTCCTGATAACATGACCCAAGTACAAGCAATGAAGTCTCCTCACCCCTCCTTCTAAGGATCATTCTGGCTGTATGTCCAGGACAGGGCTGTTTTTTCTTCTGGAAGTCCATGGTATAATCGGTGTTCTTGCCAACACCACAGTTCAAATGGTCTTCCTTACAGCTTTTGCACACACGGGGGCAACTGAAAATGCCAT